TAAAATGTTGCATTGCAATTCAAATGATAGCTAAGTATAACAAATCCAGAGTCAAATGACTACCTCAGGCAATGGCTGCCAAGGCAGAAATCATATCTGCCATCACCTCCTGGATCGAGAAGCTCCACCAGAAGATAGGAGATGCGTCGTCTGCAACCAGGATGGGGTCTACAAATGTCAAGATTGTCTTGGGGAGCCACTCTATTGCACTGGCTGTTGCAGAAGTCAACATCTTTGCAATCCCTTCCATTGGATCAGTCAATGGAATGGTCAATTCTTTGAGCAAAGTTGTCTCACTCACGTCGGACTCGTCATACACCTCGGTCATGAGGGCAAACAATGTCCGGTACTTATGGATAGGTGGGACTTGTTCGAAGAAGACAAACCGGAAGACCAGCTTGAGCCTGAAGATCTACCATCTGTGTCGGGACCCAAGTTCCAGCTGAAGGAAACACCATGGTCATCATTGACAAGTCCGGAGTTCATCGCCTCCGGGTTCGATGCTGCGATTGTCCAAATGCCATGAGTCCAGACCTTCAAATGTTTCGACATGGATTTTTCCCCGCTTCATTTAACAAGCCGAAGACTTTGTTCACCTTCAGGGTTCTCGATGATTTTCTATTGGACAACCTTGAATGTGGGGACCTCGGTGATGAACTATTACAGCAAGCTCCGGCGAATGACCTCGAGGATGTTTCCACACCTTGTACCGGTAATGCCATATCTCTCTCATCTAAAGGACATTATATTGACAAGGCATGGGCAAGGACCGATACCGAGAGCTCATAAGAGTCGCCCGACAGGGGAGGCAGTTGAAGACGATGAAATGGCATGGCTTCAGCCATTGTTCCGACAGCCCGAATGCAGGAGATCTCGCATTATTTTGCCCGGCATGTCCTCAGCCTGGGATTAATGTGTCCTTCTCAGGGGATGAATCACTTGATGAGTGAGTCTTCCTCGATACCGAAGTCACCTCAGCGATAATAACAACTCCAAGGTGGAAATACACTCAGTCATTTGTTATGGACGGAAATTTCAAAGCTGAACACCTGCATCCCATGAAGCCATTTGATGAAGTTTGGCTGTCAGATGGGTTGGGATTCATGGTGGGAAAGGACAGGTATAAAACGCATCTTGCAGAGGCTGCCGACACTTTAGAAAAATCAAGCTGCAACAATCACCGGGCAGTAAATCAAGCAAATGCGGCTCGGCACAAGCTGGAATCCATGGGCATCGGGGGAGTAGCCTGTGCGAGACACGGTTGCTTTGTTCCTCACTTGATGGTAGATTTTCAGAAAGGCGAAAGGCAAGCCGACCCAGCCATTCGATATTCACGAGTTAACCATGCATCATTCGCAGACAAATGAACATGGACTATGCCCTTTGTGAGGCTGCCCGGCACAACATGGAAGGCATCACCAGGGTGGTCACCTTCTATGATATCAACTGTCAATACAACAAGCACTTTCGGGTTCGGGTGGATCAAAGCCTGATTTCTCGAAATGGTTCCGGAATTGACCATCATTCCCTGGAATCGGGTTGTGGCACATCCACGGACATCAGGACAGCTGCTATGTCCGATATGCTGTCGAATTTTATCGAAGGCATCGGTCAGATTGATGGAGAGATCATGGAGACCCTATGGTCATGTCTCAACCTGATTTCCCCTGCTGCTCGGGGAATGTCATCCCCACATCGAAAGGAATGTCTTGATTATCAGATGAATGATTCCAATTTCTGCAAGATGATCCGCATGAAAAGGACCCTTTGCCGAAAATACAAGCAGGCGAAGAATGGCATTGCCGAAAGTGAAAAGGCTTTCGACATACTCAATGAAGCAGCACCCGGCGATTCAAAGACAGAGTGGCTAGCCAGCGAGAGGATCGCTCAGTCCAGCAGAATAAATAATCCTGCGGCTATGGATGTATATGAGATTAATATCAAGAAGGGTTAGTTGACTTTGTCTCCATCAAAGTCTGAATTAATGTTTGCATTCAGCACCGAGCAAAAAGGAGATCGAGCTTAGGCTACTAGAGGAGGGTAATGCCTGAAATGCAGCACCTGCTCGCAGGTCTGTGGCAACATGGATATCAATGGGGTTGGCGATTGAAGAGGCTCAAATCGCATTGCTCATCGAGGTCCGAAGAATTGGTAGAAGAACTACCGAGACACAGAAGTTAGACATCGCCCGGCAATGCGATCATCTCCAAGGCCAGATAGATAGATTCACTCGGTCTGCTATTACGCATCTCGGAGAGGGATTTGATGCAGATGAAGATCCTGAAGACTTGTACTTGGACATTCTTGATGATCTCGATGATGACTTGGCAGACTTCACCGAGACATCTGACACATGGGCAAACTCCCCTGAGCTCACTGTAATCCCATTGCCATCAAACCTCGGGGTAGATCGATGCAGACGCTGTATGGCAGACGATCTCATTCCGCTGGAGATGTCTCTTCGTGAAGGGCAGGCCAATGACTCCCTTCACAACCTCCGAATTCACTTGTGCAACAAGGTGATTCTGTTTCGAACAACAGTTAGGCAAGCCAAATCCCAGGCCCTGAAAACTCGAGCTTGGTCCCAGGTGACGTCAGTGCAGCAGGCAGTGTCCCTCCATGCCAGTATATATATGAAGACGAGGAAGCAAATGATGCAACTGGAGCCAGGGCAAGACCAGGTTCAGAAATACAAACCCCTGCTTCGAGAGCAACTCAAAATCAGCACTGCCGTTGGCGATCCAAATGCCCGAGGTCAGCGAAACGAGTCCCTCACTTGGTTCTGGTCAGTCGAAGTCGACCTTGGGGGTCCCAATCACTCGTGGAATGAGGAATGTGAGTTCGGGCATGCTTGATGTGTCTCGCGCTCAGCTGACGGAGTCATCCGAAGTTTACCGAGTTCATTGGCTCCGGGCAAAGGCACTATGGGATCGATGGAAGGAAGAAATGATGTTGGTCCAATTGGAGATGGATTGGACATGTAACTTTTTCTTGTGGAAAGCAACCCAATGGGGTGACAGGATGTGCGAATCATTGGTGAAACACCTTCCGGGTCATGCATGCTACTCGGGAAGGCAATCCCAAATGTATTCATTGCTGGCACAGGATGCCCAGGCAGCATTTCAAGACCTGAAGACCGGGTTTATAGATGCTCGAGATTAATGAATTTTTTTGGCCAATGATATGAAACAGCTACTTTGACCCAAACATTTTAGTCCCGGGAATTGGCCGGGTCGACCCATGTCGGAGTTTGAAATTTTTATCAATCAACCAGTGGCTCATATCTTGACCTCCAAACCAACTGCCATTGTCATTGTCATTTCCAGCTTCATAATCCTGCATTAACCATGTCTGTATTGCATACTCCCCCAACATCCCCTTCTAATTCTCAGACTTCCGGCAATGGGTTCCGACCCCTCACACTCACTCAGGCAGATATTGCAGCCACAATGTCAATGGCTGCATCTCGCATCCGAGCATCCATCTCTCAATATCAGATGGAGGCTGCCCACACCCAGGAGCCTTCTGCTACTCGGATCACGCACTTTAAAGCCGGGCTGCAATGGGAGATAGCTGTAAGAGGCTGATGACTGTGGTGGTCAATGCTGACATTTCCAACAGACTTTTGTGACTCCCATCCTGCAGTACTCAGCTGCAAGGAACATCATTTCGGTTGTTCCGAGGCCGGTTGCTCATATTCTTCAGTTGATTCCCGAGCTCACCTGGAACATGGTTCCGGACCACATCTTTTCATCCCACCTATGCCAGTTTCAAGACGTTGCAGATCTGGGGGATCCCTCCCGCATTGTATCCACCTATGGTACTCAATGGTGGACCGTATCAACTGCCATCCCGAACAAATTATGGCCATGGGATCAGGTATTCGCTAATTGTGTCTGTCACTACCAGCATTGGCTAGTAAGACTTTTACAGAATTTCCTTGAGTGATGACTAATCCTTTCTAGTCTGGCGTTGAGGACGAACATCTTGTTGTTCCCGAGCAGGTGGATGAAAGCTCGGTTGCAACGCTGAAGGCACTGAGGTGGATGAGGGAACACCTCCTGACAGTGATTGAGGATCAACAAGCTGGCATCCATGAAAAGATGGCAGAGATTCAGATGTACACCGCCGTCCTAACCAAATTGAACCCAAGGGGACCAGAGTAGTTCTAGTCCTTCAGTTCAGAATGTTGAAGTCTAAATTCTGTACATGATGAAATAAGTACTGAAAATTACATACTGACTTTCGAATATCTGACCTATTGCTATATGCTGAGTCCTGCATACCAAATATCGAGTATCAAGATCCAGATATCTTGAGTCCCAAATATTGAGTCCCAAACATAGAGTCCCGGATATCCAGTCCCGAAGCCCAAGATTCGAGACGAGACTTGAAACTTGAACATTGCTTTGAGTTGTGAGTTTTGAGTCCCCACCGAGTCCTGACAATTGAGTCCCACAGCCCGACTATCGAGTCCCAACCATCAAGTCCCAACCATCAAGTCCCGACAATCGAGTCTTGAAACCCACATCCGCACTATCGAGTCCTGACTACCAAGTCTTGAAACCCGAGTCCTGACAATCGACTCCCGAAGCCCGAGATTTGAGTGCTGACCATCGAGTATTGAGTCCCCAATATCGAGACCCAAAACCCAAAACCCAAGAAGCCCGAAGCCCGAAGCCCGAGATTCGACACAAAACAAATCAAAACTCAAAACAACACGACACTTTCTTGAATCACCGAGTACCGAAACCCGAGTACTGGGGTACCGAGTCTTGAAACCCGAATCCACACTATCGAGTCCCGACTACCGAGTCTTGAAACCCGAGTCCTGACAATCGACTCCCGAAGCCCGAGATGTGAGTGCCGACCATTGAGTATCGAGTCCCTATTATCGAGACCTGAAACCCGAAGCCCGAAGCCCGAGATTCGACACTCGAAACAAATCGAAACAAAACTCAAAACATGACACTCATCAATTTTGGGAGTTGTTTTCTTGAATCACCGAGTACCAAAACCCAAAACCCGGTACTCGGTAGTCGGTGAAATGTGTACAACATCACTATGGAATATACTCGAATATCGAGTCCCGACTATTAAGACCCAAAACCCGAATGTTGAGTATGGAGTGCCTGACATCTAGTATCATGTATTTGAAGGTGGGTACTAACACAGGTAACTACCTTTCTACTTCTTCCAATCCAACCTTGCCCATCCACACGACAGAATCCCAGCATAAACATGAACAGCATCCCTCATATACCATGCCCAGGCAATCCGATCCCCTTCCACTGCATGAACCGCGTGTCTGACAATCCTTCCCGAAAATGCAATCATGCACCCCAGATCATACCTTAACTCCAGCTGCAGGTTTGGCATACTCATCCGAGCATTAGAATAATTCCCCACACTAGTGAGAATATCAAAGCATTCGGAAATCGATGAGGGGTCTCAATGATTTGGGGTTTCCCAATTGCATATGACGGTGAGGCTGTTAAACACCATTGCCCAGTACTGGAGAGTCTCTGACATCTTCAGCAGTTCCTTGCTTCGTGCCTTTTCTCCGAGGCTCACAAAGGCTTGCAACCCTGCCCAGTACTGCTCAGGATGCATCACCCTGAGTGCCACTGTGGCAATGGCTGCTGGCCTTGCAATGGCTTTGAGGATGTTCTCGGAGGATGGTCCCTTCAATGATGCAGATACCTCCAGATCAGACTGATTCTATGGGATTGGTGAGTTTAACTACCGAGATCGCCATCTCATCAGATCCTACCTTGTGCCCCTGGTGAAACCATGCCGGAGATAAATTAATGCATCCGGGAGTTAGGACATCATTTTCCGAGCTTGGTGTGAACCACTGTTGATTAGTCCGCCAAATCCCATCGAGCTTTATGCTTTGTTCGAGCATGGGAGCTAGCAAATCCGAGGCCGCCCAAATTTCATTCTGTGCATACCATTTGATGTTCAATATCCATCCAGTCACAATATATATAACACACCTGGGTGGCATCGGTCAAGGCGTCTGGGAGGTACCATGCAATGATGGCACCAGATGCATCAAGAATTGTCGCGGGTATGTCGATCAACTTTGTGCCCTCATGGCCAGGAGGACACCTCTCGAGCAATTTTTCCTCTCTCTCTTCATTACGCCCCGTGTCCTTTGGGGAGATCAATTTGCTATATCTTGCAATATTGATCGGCATCTGAACTGTGATGAAGCAATTTGACTGATAAAACGAATTTTCCGAATCTGCAGGAAGACTCACTGGGATTTTTATATGCCTTTATGAGCCGATCAACCAATTGATCACAAGCCATCACCAGATCAGTGTCTAGGTTTGGAGAAGATATAACTGGGTCTCCTCCTGTCTTCTCTGCATTGAATTTCTGTTCCGTATAATCACATGCCACATGAGTGACAGTCAGGGCCCAAGTGCGCAAGAGGGTTATTTCATCATCGGAAGTGGAAGAAACATCCATGATTGAATTGATCTTGTGAGATCAGAAGCTGAATCCTGAATGTCCGCACTTTGGTGTTAAAGGGGGTGGAGATTGAGAGGATCAGATAAGGGAGCCTTGGATGATCTGAGCTTTCAAAGATCTATTATCTCTTATCATCTATTGCTCAATGAAATACCACATGATTGGAAGTCTGTTGGATGTCAGATACTCGTTTGTTGAGACCCGGGCCTCGGATCTCGGTACACTTCACTCAATTTTGATACCTGGGACACTATAGTTGGAACTTGTCTTGAATCTCGGGTCTCAGGTCTCGGGCGTCGGGTCTCAGGTCTCGATGGTCGGGACTCGATATATGGGACTCGTTGGTCGGGACTCGATACTCGATTGTCGGGATTCAATGGTCAGGCGCCGGGTTTCATGACTCGGTAGTCGGGACTCGATAGTCGGGACTCGATGGTCGATTTTCAGGATTCGATAGTTGGGGCTCAGATATTGGTACACTTCACTCAATTTTTGGTGGTCGGAACTTGGCATTTGGCATTTGGTAGGCTTGGATGATGTTGGCTTTCAAAGATCTATTATCATCCATTGCTCAATGAAATACCAGATGATCGGAAGTGTGCTGGACATCACATATTTGTTTGTCGAGACCCGGGTCTCGGAACTCGGTACACTTCGCTCGAGTTTCCACTTCACCCCTTTTCAAAGCTCCATGCCATACCACATCATTAGATGACTTCAAATAATCACCTCCTTTGATTTGGATGGTATACAACTAGCTGAGCTCCATCATGTCTACAATTATCATTCTCCTGGGCCCACCCGTCTATCTTATATACCCCCACGTCGGCCTACCCATCTATGCAATATATATCTCCCGTCGGCCCACCTGTATATAATACATCTTTTACCGCTCCCTCGGCCCACCCGTCTACAAAATAATATTAATTCGTTGGCCCACCCGTCTAATATGATATATATCTGGGCCCACCTGTCTATGTGATAACAATCACCCTTGATATACCCGGCTATTTGATACATATCTACCTTGGTACACCCATCTACATAATATCCAACTACCTCAGCCGATCCGTCTATTGAAAATTCATGTCCATTGGCCCACCCATCTACTTTACATATTCCCCACCTGGGCCCACCCGTCTCCATTGGGAATAATAACACTCCTGGCCCATCCGTCACAGTCGAGGATATATCTACCCTCGGCCCATGGTCCGCTGGCCCGTATCATACGGGATATTATGCACGTCCGTCCACTCGTATAATACGGAGATATGTTACTGCAATATGTGAAATAACAACGATGACCAAAGCTCATGTTGGTCAGTAAACACTATGTGGTGAGAACACTGGTGTCACAAAACTGGGTTTCTATCGTGAGAAACTTATGTAATCTCAAGGGAAACACTTTCCCTGCACTTGTCTGGACAGTTCTTACAAAGGAAATAGGCTTTGTAAGCAGCAATTTGTTCAGACTGAAGCTTCTTAGGTGAGAGTTCAATTTGCTCAAGAGGGAGATTCTTGAATGCAACAAGTGGGAGATCTATTTTTGGGGGGAGAATGGACTCTCCTTATATACATTTTGTGTGGGAATATTATGTAAGTAAAAAGGTGATGTAATGACTTCGGAATGTGAGAAGAATATTCCAAAAACTGGAGCAGAATGTTCTAGCAGGTGCAAAAGAACATTCCAGAATATTCATGGTGGGATAATGACATCATTCTGAGTCACTCTGAGTCATTATGAGTCATTGGAATGTTCTAGCAAATTCCATGGAACATGACATCATTATGACATCACTATGATATCATATCTTTCAACAAAATACCTGCAGGAGTGTGGGTGAAGTCCTATGACATCATTATGACATCATACCCTGTAGGTACAATTTTATGAAGCATCTGATTAGTCAGAGCATCCTAATAGAAAAGTAAAGTAAAGAAACACTAGAGAAAACAACTCAGAAATAATGGAACAAATAATAGTACACAATACGTGGGCTTTTTTAGATAGGTTTTTGTTAGGCTTTGAACTTTTCTCTATGGGTTTCTCTAGCCAAAGTGAATAAGCCAAAGGAAAGGCAATACCTTAACCTTTATTTTGCTTCTCATATCAACTAGGTCATTATGTGATTCCCATCTCACATATGACTTTTCTTCAAAACATGGTGGATTCATGAATCACTGAGGGAAAATTGAAACTATTGGACCAAGGTTTGATACCAAGGTATGGGTTGACTAGTCTGAGGACTAAGCTAACAGACTTTGTCTTTTAGGGGGATACCTAGTAGTCATGTTCATGCATGATTCCCAAATCATGCAGGACATCGGGCAGCGCGCTATGGGAGAAAAGTGGTCCCAAAGCAGATAACTTGGGAATGATAGCGCTGGTGACTAGCGCCTTACTCTTTTTCCTCTAGGCAAGGCAAAATATGCCTATGACACTCATACACGCCTAGCGCTGGTATGATTGTCACAGCGGGTAGAGCACACATTTGCTGCTCTCAAGGGCCGCTTCCAATCTCTTTGAGAGCTTTGACACCCAATGCAAAATGAAAATGACCTTCAGTACATGTCCCACTGTGTCATATGTTGCATTATCCTTCATAACATGGTCATTCGGTTTGAAGAGCGTTGTGGCATCTTTGGTGGCTCTGGCAGTACTAATGATTGGGCTCTTCATAACCAGGGAGAAGACCTTATCCCCCCCCAGACCCAGAAGACCCTGATGTGGGTCTGGTATGAGATACTTCTTATTATGGCACCCCTGGCCATGCAGCTCATGCAAGGTTGATGGAGCTTTTATTAAGATAGGGGGACTTAACAGGATCCAAGAGAAGACAAGTGTATTGCATTGATAAATGAACATAGGAGCCATGTAAAACATATGTATGACATGTAGGCATATATGAGAGACTGCAAGAGTGATACATGAAATATTCAAAACAACAAGGACAAATGACTACATCTAACACGAAATGCAAAGCACAAAAAAATGATGACAACAATGAACGCTAACCAGATGCCGCGCCCCCCTTCAGCTTCAGAAGCTCGATCTCGAGCTGGAGAGCAGCTTTTTTCTCAGCCTGAACCCTGGCTTGGGCCTCAAGAACTTGAAGCTTGAGGACCTTTGCCTCTTGGACGTGTTGGTGGACAACGGCAGCCTCATCCCGCTCCTTGTCGGCCTGCTCGCATTGGAATTCTATGTCACATTTGTGACGGTTAGCTTTTACCTTGGCGATCTTGTGCTCCAAGGCGGCAGCCTTCGCAGTATAGATGTAGCTCATGCCATCAGTAAGTGATTTCACCTGTCCTTGAACATCCTCCATCTTGGAATCCACACACTTTGAGAGACTAGATTTTTGCGATGTCCTGCGGCGATGCTCAGCTTGCAGATGGATGAAGTGCACGACGCCGAGGGTGACAGTGTAGATGACATAGTGTGTGTGCGCAGTGAGGAAGAAGATGGTGACATGATAAACGAAGGTGGTTTTGGTGAGTGGAGAGCACCGCAATTGATGGCGTGATCAGTGTGTGATTTGGAATTTGCCATGGGAGGGTAATATCAGGATGTCAGGTGCGTATGTAGGAGGCGGTGAGGGGGATGGGTAAGGGCATTTAGTCGAATGATGGATGGTGTACCCATCTTCCTCACCGTCGTGTTCCAGAACTTCATCTTGCGGCTCCTCGAACTCCTGCCATGACTGGTCATCTATGGCATCTTGAACAATAGGATGATGACCAGGATGGCAACCAAAGGTGGAGGATTCATTGTGGGGGACATTGTGAGTGTCAGCGTCATTAGGGTGGGAGGCAGAGTCCACGAAGTCCATCAGTTCATTGTTGTTGTTGAAATCAGGGATGGGGGCGGCTTTCCCCTTCCCCTTCCCTTGGGCAACTGGGCCGGGGATGCCGTCGAGAATGATGTCAGGGATCTCTGCAGAGACCCCATCAATGTGAGAAGGAACAGGAGGGGGGGGGGGGGGGCATAGTTTGTTGGCCCTTGCCTTTCCCAGCGGTAAGGGCGACCATGCCACTTGCATGGTCTATCCTCAGTGCGGATGAAATCGTAGTTGGTGTGTATGCCGTGTTATCTTTCCAGAGACCATCTAGCACGTCGAACCATGGGAACTCCTGCAAGACTTGCTCTGTAATATTTTTATAGTTATTTTCATAAATTTAAACAAAATACAATGCACCTCGCAAGTTTTTTGCACTGCTAGCATCCAGGGGGTTAACACCAGCCCCAGTCTGCCTGAAGCGGCTGCAATACTTTTTATATTTTGTCCTAAGACTAATATCCAGTGGTTAGTTAATGCATATGAGAGGGGGAAAGGTGCGCACTAGGAAAGGCGGTTGCCCACCGCCTGTGTGAATTTATTCTTCTCCTCAGCGTACATACTCCCATACTCTGCATCATTCTCAAACACCTGTTGAGCGATATCCACCCATATTTTGCTCTTGTTGCCAGAAGGAGAGGGCTCATTGATGGTAGGATTGTGTGCCTTCTTTGATTCGTTAGGTAGTATGCGGCAGTGGGCAGGGTGGGTATCGAGGAATTGGACAAGGATAGTGGTACATCCAGAGTCCCATCTAATCAAAACCCTGGAAGTAGGGGCATCATCATGGACAGCAGTAGAGGTAGGGGTGGGTTGGAGGGTATTGGGTAGATCAGCCCTCCCTCGTCCTCTTGTACCATGATTTACAGACCCCCTCCCTCTACCACCACGCGGAGGTCTCTCAGTAGACATCAGTGAATCATAAGTGGTCTTGGTGCGCGCTTTGACTCATTGTGAATGCCGTAGTTGTAGACGTTCTGCAGGCATCTTGTACGCTTAACATCAAAATTGGATTTCAGACTCCAATTGGGTCTGCCAAACGTTCTGTACAGTCTGAAAGAATTCACCAACATTTTCACAGCCTTACAAATAATGGCGTTCAGAGTAAAATTATGAAAGCTTTGAAACGTGGGAAATGCTAGTTAGAAATTCTCAGAACATTTGGCATGAACATTCAGAGTCTGAATTCTAACTTGATGCAGCATGCGCACTATGCCTGTAGAACATCCTCGAGTTCGTCACTCAGAGCGACTTAGAATATGCTTTGAAACTTGCTGAATATTATCTATGGCCACCCAATCCACCCAAAAATCTATCTGTGCTAGGGGGAGGGGTACTTTGACTCGTGGTATGAGGGGATGAGGACAGGCTGCTAGTACTGGAGCTAATCTTGTCCAATCCAGTACCATTATGGATGCTGGACTCAATGTGTCCTCTGGTATCAAGGTATGGTGGGAGTCCAATGGAAAATGTACCGATTCCCTCGTGCAATACTTGTCCAATCATGCCCCCAACTGTTGCGTTCTATTTAACAAAGGCGGCAAAAGACCTGACAATGAAGGCCGTCCATCTGGGAGCAACAAATCAAAAATCCACACAGTGATCACGCTGTGGGTATCACAACCTGGCAGGCACATATAAGAAAAGTGCTCAGCCAGTATAAGTGAGTCTCGGCTCTGCCTAGCTGCTATACTCACAGAATGCAAGAACGTTTGACCCTAAAGGGGGAAGCAAGGAAAGCAAGGATCCACGAAATGATGCTGAACAACCCTGATGAATGGCAGTGAAAGCGTGAGAAACGCGCTGAAGGCGCGTGCGGGAAAGCGAAGTGTGAAAGTGCGCGAAGCATAGGAAGGTAGTGCAAGTGGTGCACAAGTGTAGAAGACGTATACTGAGACTGATAAGAGGAAAAGTGCAGATCTAGACGGATATTGATAGTGCCACTAGCTATAGACTGATGCTAGGGCCTCAAGATGATGATGGATACATGCATTGCATGGAACTAACTGCCAAGTACATGGTGGTAGAAAGATGGGTGGTAGGAAGCTAAGGTGTAAAACGAACATGAAAGTATGTAAGTTCTACCTAAGCACTTTCCCAGGGCTCGGAGCTGAATAGGGAGTGCTCTAAGTATGTAGGTGATGTAAAATAAGGGTCCATAATGAAATAGGAAGTGTAATATGCCAAATATAGTCAGATAATGAAAAGGGACATACCGAGGGACTGGTTGGACGATGGATGGATGCTCCTGGATGATGCACAACGCAGTGCGCTTAAGCGCAAGAAAGCGCGCAAGGCATGCATGTGGGAATGCTGCGCGTTGTGCAGGAAAGTATCACACCTATGGCGCATTTCATGGGAAAGCTGCGCATGATATGCGGAATCAACTGAAGACTTGGTGTAAGTCATATGGATGATGGTGCGAGTTGTGCCATGAAACGCCAGTTGTCAGAATTCGTAATATGGGCCCATAACAGCCTGCAGAAACGTGAGTCTCTACAATGCACCATATATTCCAGCACGATAATGAGTATAATGAGTTGTATGCTGAGGAGCCAGCCAAGTTCACGCAAGCTGTGTCCAATCATTTGACTTAGTACATCCTTTCCCTCTTCATATTTATATATTTAACATGATTTTTAGTCTTAGTAACAAGTACAAAAAGCTTTGCGGTCGCTTCTTGCAGACTGGTGTGGGCATTGACCCCTCTCAACCTAATGCTGGAAACAATCTGCTTGGTGCATTGTTTTTCATTCAATTAATTAATTTTATCTAAAATACATCTAAAAATTCAGAGCAAGTGATCTCGGAGTTCAGGTCAGGCTTAGGTTCATGGTTAGGTTAGAGTTAGTGTTGTGC